TCTGAATATCTTGAAGGAATAAGTCCAGATCCTGGTCTGAGAGATGCACCCCATTGTGTCTGTAAAGCTCCGGCCTATTTAAACTAATGTCATGGTGTCCAATAACTGTACCAATACCCCCTTTGACAGCCCGGCAAACTTCACGCTTAACTCGTCTGCATCCTATATTGCTGAACTGCAGTGGGCAACCTGCCAGCCATTGCACTCTAGGTATTATTGTGGACTACAAAATGATAATCGAAGGGTGCTCAGTTTTCAACAGAGGCAAATCTCTTATAATACCTAAAACCAAGGATTTTCTGCTCTGCTAAGCTTTTGCCACCGATGTGAACAACTAACACATTGGGGGGGGGGGACAGCAATGAGGCCCACAAGGAACTGCATGTAGGAACACATCCCACTGCAAACCACTCCAGTTAGGCTGAGGCCCAAGACCTAAGTTACTTCCCCACAATGATTTCACAGCATGGCCCACTGCCCAGAAGATAAAGCTATGGCCAACAATCAGGATGCGAAGTCTCTTCTTCGAAACCTCTGCACCTGCAACAAAAGAAATGTAATGCCTGTAACAGCTGGAACTCCAGCATTCTAACTATTTAATATCTTCCAAACCATAGCCAAGGACAGCAGCTGTCAAGGCTGCTACTATCCTAAATGAATGAGTGCTGAAGCATAGCCGCACTACGCCAGACTGCTGTAGTGCTCTATCTGTTAATCTCCAAAATTGGTATTTTGTCAATGGTGATCCTTTGCTGTGTGTGAAGAGATAGCCTGGATGTTGTGCCCTGGAGGTCAAATATGCCTCCATGGCCAGAAAAGGGCATGTGCTCTGTATAGAACACATGCCTGTTAAATGCACCCCTTTCCCTCTCTGATCAGCCGTTGAACTCGTATATGTATCAGTAGGGTGTCATTCTCCATGAGGATGTCCTGCCTCTGCAAGGCCATTAGTGATGTGTCTGACTTGCTCATTGCAACTACCTCGCTTATTCTAAGGGCTCCAAAGAAAATTACTAAGGATGCAGCCTTGAACAATTGTCAGAAAGTCAGGTCACCTGGCAGGTGGCATCAAAGGGAGGAAGCCATAGGCTGTGAGGATGGATCAAATCACATGGGATTGAGATCCAATGTGGTTTCTTATATGGAAATAACCCTGGGTCTTTGTGTGATCATTCAAACTAAGTGCTATTGAAAAACAGGATGTGAATCAAGCATAGCAAAGCCAGATTACTGAGACTGGGCTTGCCAGTAGTCTGACTAATCCTGCATTATCTTACCCATGTTATCTGTGGCGCTGGGACGTGGTGGCGCTGCGGGCAAAACCGCAGAAACCTGTGCTGCAGGGTCAGAAGACCCTGCAGCACAGGTTTCAAATAATATCGAATCCACGCAACAGAGTGAGCTCCCGTCGGTGGTCCCAGCTCCCGCCAACCTAGCAGTTCGAAAGCATGCAAATCTAAGTAGATAAATAGGGACCACCTCAGTGGGAAGGTAACAGCGTTCCATGTCTAAGTCGCACTGGCCATGTGACCACGGAAGATTGTCTTCGGACAAATGCTGGCTCTATGGCTTGGAAACGGGGATGAGCACTGCCCCCTAGAGTCGAACATGACTGGACAAAAAAAATTGTCAATGGGAACCTTTACCTTTACCTTTACATGTTATCTGTAGACTTAAAGATCTTGGAGTGAATATCGGCGATGAGTTGTAGCAGGTGAAATCAAACACTAGGTAACAGGAGTTGTCCCTTGGAGTCCTGCATTCAGAACTTTGATTCAGCAGATTCAGAGAACGATGGTCTCTTACAAAAAGGAGGGCTCTGCAGACAGTGAGATTTGTGCAAAACACTTTTTATGTTTTTTAAAATTTGACATTTTAAACATTAGATTCAGTAAGGCCACAAATGAACATGAAATTACATTACAGGCAGTTCAGTAAGGGAGAAAATTAGCAAAGACAAAAAATAAGTGTTGCGAAAGTTTCAAGATAAAATATTTAGGTCAAAACTACAGTTTTGTCTATTACATCTCTTCCATAAAATATCTGTGACTCACACTCAAACCAGGTTGAGGAATGAACAAAATCAGCATTTTTGGAAAGCAAGTTGGATGGATGAGTTTTTATTGAAACATTTCAAAAAGCATTCCAAAGCTTGCACTCACTACCTCTTTTCCCATATGCAGAATGATATAATGAACATTTGCAGTTGTACAAGCATTGTAGTGGGAAGATGTAGAAGGAAGAAGGAAGAACTGGAGATGAAATTGACTCTTCCTCATCCACAAAAACTGAAACAACAATTTAGATGACCGAGGCACAGTAAGAAGTAGACAAGGGCAGGATATTGTAATGGATATATTTTAGCAAAAAGCCAAAATATATCCATTACAATTTAGGAAAATATGGTAGGAAAGTTATACTTCTTTAATATTTTCCACATCGCTTCTTGAATCTCCTTATTCCGCAGGCAATAAATGATGGGGTTCAGTACAGGTGGCAAAATGGTGTACAGAACACCAGACAGCAAATTAAACATGTGAGAAGACAGTCCACTAGGCTTCATGTATGAAAACATAGCTGTGATGACAAATAGGGAGAAGACGGCCATGTGAGGAATGCAGGTGGAGAAGACTTTATACCTGCCTTGATCTGCTGGGATCCTAAGTACTGTGGAGAAGATGTAGCCATAGGAAACAGAAATGAATAGAATGCAAAACAAATTCACAGTGCTGCCAATTACAATAAGAATAACGTTATTAACAAGAGTATCAGTGCAAGAAATCTTTAATAATGACGGGACATCACAGAAAATTTGTTCAAGGATATTGGGCCCACAGAAGCTTAAAGTGAAGGTGACTGTGGTTTCTAGGACTGCATGGATCACACTGATTGACCATGAAGCAGATACCATTTCCATACATGTTTTCCAGTTCATTATCACTTTATACTGCAGAGGGTGACAGATGGCTACATAGCGGTCATAAGCCATAACAGTGAGGAGGGAAATCTCAGCACCAGCGAAAAACATAACTGAGAAAATCTGAGCAACACATCCAAAAAAAGAAATCAGGTTGTTGCCTGTTAAGGAAGCAGACAAGTTTTTTGGGACAATAGTAGAGATGTAGCAAATGTCTATTATTGATAAATTCACCAAAAATCCGTACATAGGGGTGTGAAGGCTGTAATTCAGAGCCACTGTTGCAACAATGAGGAAATTTCCTATCAGGGCAATCAAGTAAATGGAAAGAAATATGAGAAAATACATAATTTGTAGGCTGTGATCACTGGAAAATTCCATCAGTAAGAATCCTTTCACAATAGACTGGTTGACCACATCATTTTCTTGAATCATTCTGTGGAGAGAAACATAAAAGTTGAGAGTAGAAGTTCTAACCTTCATATATATTGATTTTTCTATAGTTATTTCATGTCTCTTGTCCTTTTCCCCCCAGTCTGTCAAAAACTACAGAACAAAAGAGATTTCCATTTTCTACATGTTTCAAAACAGTATGGTATTCTTGTGCATTTTCTCTTCTGTACAGTATTTTAAAATATACAATTTTATGCATATACTAAATTTCAATAAGTAGGTGTGTATCTGTATGGATTTCTGTGGGGTAGCTGTGTCTTTGTTGCTATCCACTTTAGGTCTCAGATCTTAAAGTTTTTGTACATTTAAAGGAAAACTGAGGAGTGTATATCTAGCTTATTTTGTTTCAAAAATGGAGTATTTTGTCTTAATCATGTTGATGGTAGCGTGAGGTTCTTGTGGTTTGGTCGAGAGATGGCAAATACCAGATTTCTCAGCAACAAGATGTCCTATGAAAAAGAGGGGTCTCCTCCAGAACAGGAAGGATTGAGTTTTAATCCAAATATTTGCTTCTGATTTTTTAAAATAGACCTCTCTTTTTAATCTGGAACAACACAGTTCTTTTTTCTGTGACATCCCTTGTCAGAAGAGATGAGACTATACAATGAGCTATGCACCACTTTGGGGCAGTTCATAACCTTAACTCTGTATTCAGAGTTCTGACCATCTAGATAAGTAAAGAAGTTGAATCAATAGCTTAACTTTCTGTAGACTTACAGATCTTGGAGTAAAAGTTGCTGGTGGGTTGTGACTGATGAAATTAACCACAGACATAGTCCCTTTAGGGACCTACATTCCCAGGCTTCTCACATTCATTAAAAAAAAGAAGTCACATGTGTCAATGCTTCTCCATTTTGTGAGCACAACTCATTGCACACACTTCCCAATAACGTGAAGGCGACTGTATGGCAAAACTGTATGCACAGTTAACTCCCTTTGCAAATGTTTCACTAAATATACAGAGATCCAGGTGTCACAGCAGTTGGGTGGGATGATGCATAGGGGATAGTCAGTGAGTTTAGGAAAAACTTCTAAAGAGGGGCTTTTTCGCTTCTCATTAGTCTACGATCCACTATAAGGAACATCTCTATAGACCAATATCCACAACAGTCTAAATATATACTGGGTAGTCTAATTTGTGGATAAGTCGTTTAACTCTGGCTTAGCTTTTAAAACCAAGTCCACATAAAACAAAAAGTACTTAGAGTTCTCAGTCTAACTCATGTGTTGATTCTGTTACTTTTTCCAGGCCATCTTCATGTGATGCGGTCAGTTAGTGATATGTAACAGGTAGTGGTGGATAGAACACTTGTTATTCAGGCTATTTCTTTAAAAAGCTCACTTCTCTTTTTTTAGCAATAACGCCTTGAAGCAATCCTATTTCATTCTAGACATAAATAGTAATTGAATCAGAAAATATGTGCAGAGATTACTACAATTGTCTTTGATCTCTGCTTCTTCCTTATTAGGAACTTTAAAACACGTTGAAGACACATGAACAAATATATATTCAGCAAACATGATTATTCCCTTTCTGATGGCCAGATCACACAAGTGGAGTATACGCATATGTGAACGAATGGAATATTTTGACACAAATTTGTAAAATCTGACGTACTATGGTCTGTCAGGAACCTCTCTCTTTTTAGAAACTATAATGCTTTGAGTCAGACTTTCTTGTGGGTTTTTTTTGTTTGTTTGTTTGGTTTGATTTAGTTTTAAAGGATCCAGTTAACCTGATACCAAGGAGATGCTTCCTAAAATAGGTTTGCAGTGTTGAGTCTCAGATCCAAATATAGACATAAAGCAGTTAGACATCAATGGATTTCGTTATTGAAAATCTGTTATTCTTACACTTTACAAGGAAAGATTTCAATAAAATAGTTTTTGTATTACCTTCTATCTATTATGTTTTTTAAAATGTTCTCTCTGACATTCAAGAACAATAATTATCATCATAAACCCAATCATATATCTGACATTTCACTCTCCTCTCAGAAATGTGTAGCATCCTGGAATACCTGTCCTTACCAAGAACAAACTATGATAATTCTGCTTACCTGTGTTTTTCATGGAAGATGAGAGCATCAATATGCTTGATTGTGGTCTTTCTTGGATATTAAATGCACTGCAGAGAAGAGAAGGAGTTGGAGTCATCTTCATCTTCTGAGGTAGTTCCGGGAGTCACTCTTTGGGGAATAGCACTGTTCCATAATGTTTGCTTGTTAGGTGCCATCAGGTTGCTTTGGATTTATGATGAATTTAATAGGATTTTCAAGTCATGTGAGGCATTCAAAGAGTGATTTACAGTTGCGACCCTATCGGGAATAATGACATGAGATAAGATACTTGGGTTAAACCAGGGCTGTGCTTTATTGAACTATAATAAAGAAAAGGAGGCTGCTGTAGTGCGGAAAGGAATAACTGGGTCTTCTGGGACCCTTTGCCAATATGGGTGATTCCTCTGCCCTGTGCTTGCATTTTTGCCAAAACTGCGCAACCCCAGCTGGCTTGGCACAGACCTCACCCTTGGTACGTACAAGGCCCCAGTGCACCCTCCCCCATAACTCACTGCAATCTCACGATGTGCAGTGCTGGGAGGTTGGGTGAACTATAACTTTCCTGTGCTCTTACTGGGACCCACCAATCCAACTTGCACTACCCACCACTGCAGAGGGAGTAGCATGACTAAGTCCCTTGCTCGCCCCACCTATTAACAACTGAACACAGGCCCTTCTGAATACCTTGAAGGAATAAGTCCAGACCCTGGTCTGAGAGATGCACTTCATTGTACCTGGTCTGAGAGATGCACTCCATTGTACCTGTAAAGCTCCGGCTTAGTTAAACTAATGTCATGGTGTCCAATAACTGTACCAATCCCCCCTTCGACAGCCTGGGAAACTTCACGGTTAACTCATCCGCGTGCTGTATTGATGCACTGCAGTGGGCAATTTGCATGCCACTGCGCTCTAGATATTATATTGGACCAAAAAATGATCATCGAAGGATGCTCGGTTTTCAACAGAGACAAATCTCCTATAATACGTAAAACCAAGGATTTTCTGCTCCTCTCTTGGGGGGGACAGCAATGAGGACCATGAGGAACTGCATGTAGGAACACATCCCACTGCAAAACACTCCAGTTGGGCTGAGGCCCAAGGCCTAAGTTACTTCCCCACAATGATTTCACAGCATGGCGCACTGCCCAGAAGATAAAGCTATGCCCGACTATCAGGATGTGAAGTCTCTTCTTTGAAACCTCTGCACCTGCAACAGAAGAAACGTAATGCCTGTAACAGCCAGAAATCCAGCATTCTAACTGTTTAATATCTTCCAAACCAAAGCCAAGGACAGCAACTGTCGAGGTGGCTCCTATCCTAAATGAATGAGTGCCAAAGCATAGCCCCACTACTGTAGTGCTCTATATGTTAATCTCCAAAATTGAAATTTTGTCGATGGTGAGCCATCGTTGTGCATGAAGAGATGTTGACCCCTGGAGGTCAAATATGCCTGCATGGCCAGAACAGGGCATATGCTCTGAATAGAACACATGCCTAACGGTAAATGCACTCCTTTCCCTCTCTGATCGGCCTTTGACCATCGTATATGTATCAATAGGGTGTCATTCTCAATGAGGATGTCCTGCCTTTGCAAGGCCATTAGTGATGTGTCTGACTTGCTCATTGCGACTGCCTTGCTTTTTCTAAGGGTTCCAAAGAAAATTACTAAGGATGCAGCCTTGAGCAGGGCCACCTCATAATAATTCAAACATACAGTATATTATCCCAAACCCAATGTTGATTAAGCCCTTCCAGTATGGCACATATTATGGGAGCTGTAGCAACAGCTATTCTCGTTTTTTCCTTAGCCTACCCTTCTAACATCTTCCTGATGTGATAGTCTGGAGTGAAATCTTGGTAACCCTGTATCTTAGAGTAAAAAGGTAAAGCTGCCAATTTGCCCTAGATTGACCTGGTGGTCAATCCTTTCCTATTCAAAAAGACCATATACAGTGGTGCCCCGCTTAATGATTACCCCGCTCCGGTGACGAAATCACTTCACGATGATGTTTTTGCGATCCCTGAAATTCTCTACTCACGGCCGCGTACCCTTTGCACATCTGTGGGGGCAGAGCCAAACCTATTGCTCCGTCTCCCTCCATTTTGCCAATCCTCTGGTGGCCGTAACTCTGGGTGCTCACTGGCTCCTGGTGCCAGTTCCCTGAACCATTTGATCTGTCGACGGGACAGGCCATGAGCTATACTATTTTCGACACCGGGAATGTGCCTAGCATGTATGACAATGTTAAACTGCAAAAAACCATACATTTCAAGAATATGTATCAAGGATATCCATGACTCCATTGCAAAATCTCCTGAGCTATTTGCCCTGAAGACTTTTGTGTATTTTTTTTTTAAACTTGGGTCTAACAGTGATGTTGTAACAAAGATTTGAATTATGTGATTGTCATTAGTTCTTCAATGAGGTTAGGATGACCACTGATATGCAAAAATATAACAACAGATGAGGAATTTTATTTGGCTTTCTTGTTTTATGTATTGCCGATCATGGAAATGAAAGAAACCGGAATATAAAATGTAAAAAGTTGTGGGATCCAACCAACCTGACTTATATGGTCTGATATACAGCGGTGCTGCTGTTATCATCTATCAAAATCCTGTATCTCATTCGTTTTTCTGTATTATCTCCAAACCCTTGAAAACTGCCAGTGTTTCCATTTTGAGCTCACATAAGATAGGGATGGGAAATAGTTTTATTTGATCCTGCTCTAGATAAGATCATAAAGCTAGAAGCAACCTGGAAGGCCATCTATGCAGACCCCATAGGGCTGCCCTGTAAAGGGATTTATAGTGCCAGCATTTAAAAGTGATATATTTTCCGCCTTTAAAATGTGACAGGAAACTTTGTGGTTCAGGGCCCCTGCACACATCCACCATTTTCCTGAAAACCTTCATACTGTCTCTCTCCACCTCCCCAAATCAATTTTTTATTCTACATATTCTCAATTGTACCCATGCGGGAGTCTAGGAAGTGTAATTTGACATTGTTTTAGACCCAGGTGGGCTTTTTAGAAAAATCAAGTGACATTTTTGTGCTGTTTAGGCCCTGTAGTTATTTTCTGAAAATCAGCTTCTGCTCACTTCTAGACCTTGAAAAGAAAGAAGAGAAAAGACACCCACCTCCATGGACTCAATATTGCTATGCATGCATCAGAAAAATGGATCACAAATTAGAAATTAAATTTTTTTTCCTGAGGAATTGAAGAATAAATTTGTCTTTTTGATTTTTTTTACTTTAAAGCTTCATAACATGGCCTCTAAGCACCTAGGAACACCACATTCATGGGGAAGCTTCTGCTGGCTCTTCTCTGCAATCCTTCCAAGTTTGGTGAAGAATTGATTTCAGACATCAACATTGTACACCCACAATGTGGGTCCTCACAGAAAATTGCCCTTTAGCAGTTGGCTTAGGGAAACCCAATTTTCACCAAACTAGGAGATATTGTAGAGGAACGTTAGAGGAAGATTTTCTGCAATTATGGTATCTCTAGGTGCCTGTGGGGGCCATTTTATAGCCCAACAATTGACAAATCAGAAATTGCTAAGAAAGTGTTGATTCATATTTGTCAGGGGCATTGATTCATACAAATACGAATGGAAGAATTAGTGGTTTTTGAATTAATTTGGTGACAGAAGAGGCAAGCCAGAAAGAATCCTTTATTATTAAACAGAGCAAAACAGAGAAAAATAAATTAAATAAAAACAAAAGTTGACACAAAATGCAGAATTATAACTGGTTGTTTGGTTGTTTGTTTGGTTGGTTTGGAATTAATTTAGTTAGGTATTAGTTTTGAAATATTTATCAGGAGTGATGTACATGTGCAGTAAGTTTATCTTCCTCTACAACAAGAATCAATATATATGTCTAATTCTGGTCTGCAGTCAAATACAAAAAGTGGGTTAAAAGGGAATTTTCACAGCAGCATCCAAAAAAAGATATCCCCCCCCATTTTCAACATTGTTTAACAAATGAAATGCATTACTTACATATATATACATATATATATGCACAACTTATTTAAGGCAGGAATTGGAGAAAATGAAGAGAAGTAAGCCTTTCTGAAAGAATTTTGAACAATTGGTTCTGTGGTTATGGAGGTAGATTTGCAAATATCTTTCCTTTATTTTCTTGACAACTGTAGCTGCTGGAAACACTAAAAACATCTCTAGGGGATTTTGATATATCTTGAATAGAATGGGCCACCATTAGATAGTGGCTGAGCACCATAATTTGTAATAAAGCATAAGGACCTTCCATGAGTAAATGTTTGGTGTTTACAAGACACAGTCTGTGTAATCACATTAGCAGATTATTTAGTTGCTTTGGTAGTTTCCAAATTGCCTCTTGGATATCCTTGTTTCTAAAGCTATAAATAATAGGATTCAGAACTGGTGGCAAAATAGTATACAAAAGAGCAGAAAGCAGGTCCACAGTGGGGGTGGAGAGTGCTTTAGGCCTCATGTAGGAAAACACAGCTGTGATCATGAATAAAGCGAAGACTGTCAAGTGGGGAGTGCAGGTGGAGAAGGCTTTACGCCTGCCTTGAGCAGATGGAATCCTTATCACAGCAGATATGATATACCCATAGGAAACAAAGATGAATCCAGTAATAAATGAATCCAAAAACAGACCAAGGACAAAAATCAGAATTTGGTTAATTTTTGTATCAGTGCAAGAAATCTTTTGTAACTGAGGGACATCACAGAAGTACTGCCCAATAATGTTGGAGCCACAGAACTGTAATCTGAAAGTCATACTAGTTTGTAGCAAGGCATGGATCAAATTGCTTAGCCAGGAGGCAACAGCCATCTGGATGCATCTGTTCCAGTTCATGGTTAGGCTGTATTGCAGCGGGTGGCAGATGGCTACATAACGATCATAAGCCATGATGGTGAGCAAAGAAAGCTCATTGCCTGTGAAGGTGATGACTAAGAAAACCTGAGCAACACATCCAGAAAAAGTAATCAGTTTGTTTCGAGTCCATGAAATGGCAATGGATTTGGGGATAGTGGTGGAAATGAAACAGATGTCTGACACGGACAGGTTGACTAAAAAGAAATACATTGGGGTGTGAAGGCGATGGTTGAGAACTACCGCTATCGTGATGATTAAATTCCCCACCAAGGATATCAAATAAATGGCAAGAAACACCACAAAATGCAAAATCTGTACATCATCTGGAAATCCCATGAGAAAGAATTCTGTCACCATTGATTGGTTGTCCATTATATTTAGCTGAATCTTTCTGTAAAAAAATGTTAATGGCAGAGAATCAGTTGACAATCTAGGAACAATGCCACTGCTTTACAGAACTATAAATACTTACACAGGTGATAACTTAAAAAAACCTGAACAACACGTCCAACAAAGGAAATCGCTTTTTCATGTGTCCAAGAAGCGGCAATGGATTTGGGGACAGGGGTAGAAATGAAACAGATATCTGACAATTAGAGGCTGACCAAGAAGAAATACATGGGGGTGTGGAGGTAGGGGTTGAAGTGCCACAGCTATGACAATGACCATACCTCCCATTATAGCTAATGAGTAAATGAAAAGAATCATAATGAGTTTCAAAATGTGTATATTATGGTTATCAGAAAATCCCACTGGAAGGAATTCTATCACAGTAGTTTGGTTGGCCATACTAGTTCTTGTCTCTCTCTTGAAAAGGATTAATGACTGACAATCAGGACAGATCAAAGTACTGTACTGGTTTAGAATGGAGGATATATGGTTGTAAAGAACTCATAGAAACATCAGCTAATGGTGATTTTAAAGAATACTAAATAAATAAAATAATGATTGCCACACAGTACTGTAAGTCCATTGTTTGTTGTGCCTATCCAGCCAACACACAATCTTAAGCAATTCTGGTCGTTAACAAAGATTGGATTCATTCAAACAATGCGGTGAACACATCTCAGACAGTGTGGAGATGGATCACATGCTTCTTTAACACATATTTTGATTCCTTGTATTTCACATGTTTCACATATACTAATGTTAAATTCATGGAGAGGTCTTCACTGCATCATCAGGGATGCAAAAGGAGACAGTGAGGAGAAAGACTGAGTGATCAGGAATGCAGTCATCAATCTAGCAGGGATGGACAAGGATAAGGAGGTGTGTAAAGACAATTTGGATTGTGCGTATCTGTTTCTGCAAGTACACTACACTGCCTGATTAAACAGCACCAACAATAGGCTTCTATAATATAATTTTAAAACAAAATATTGCAAGGAAAATATCTGCATACCTGACAGTAACTGTGCCCTCTCCTACTATATATTTCAACACTGTTCTTTGCCTCAGCCATTTTCGGGAGCAAGGAGGAGAAATAAAAGACAATAAGACAAATTTCTGAGGAAGAAAATGTGAAATATAAAAATTACTGAATAAATGATTGAATTGGTGTCATGCTGTGACAATTACTGGGCAAGACAATTAGATTATTGGCGCTGTTGATCCATAGAAACAGTGTTCAGCTCTGATTCAAACCATGTCAGTAAAAACAAACAAACAAAATAGCAATAACACCACTACCACCATCACTGTGCAGGAGGCACAGTGGGGAATTGAACTCCCTGCCTCTGGTGCCGCAGCCGGATATCTGAACCACTGAGCTATCTGACCAGTCAAGCAAGGAAAAAAACTTCCTTCAAAAACATGATCAAAGTACTGGTTTAGAAAACCAAAATAAGGAATGGAAGTACTATTTTCTTTTATGACATAATTCTTTTTTTTTTTACATTGAGATTTGTCTTTCATTTAGCAGTTCACAATCTTTGAGGATCCCAAATCAAAACCAAATGCAACCATATATCCTCCTGAGTACCACATGGAAGGGTTTTACTTACATTTCTGGTATGCTTGGAAGATGAGAATAGAAACGTTCTTCTGTATGGCCTTAAATAGAAGACCACTGTGATGTGAAAAGGAGGAGGAACAAAGGATTGCATCTGTTGTCTCTGGTGTTTCATAGAATCACTCCTTGGAGAATATTACACAAAACATAATGATATGCAAGACCTAATTTACAAAATATGTAGCGTCGTTTTCTGTTTTCTCTTCCTATTATTTTTCATGTGATCTTAGAGGCCCTAGGCTTTAGTGCCAGAAACAACAAGCTTGATGGTTTTTCATCCTCTATTTCTTCTGCCTCCTTCCCTGCTAGATACTTAAAATAGGTGAGGGGAATGACCTTAGTTGGGTTGAGACTGCTGTCTGAATTTGGAGTTCTCCTGCAGCAAGCTCTACTCTCCTGTAGGTTCTTGCACTCCCCCCTTCCACTGCTGGGGTGTCGGCTGAACTGGAGTTTGCAAAGGGTTCGCAGAGCCCTGGAATCCCATCTGCTCTCACTGCCATCACTCCTCTGAGGGTATGATGTCCTTAAAAGACTGCTTCTATTTTTATTGTTAGCCACCCAGAGTAGACGTCAGTCTAGATGGGTCAGTATGTATAAATAAATAA